TGATAGTTTTGATTCCCTTTTTTTTTTTTTTTTTTCTTTTCTTTTCTTAAATAACACCCAACAGTTCTTTTGGTAAAAGCTTTCTGTTCATCTTTAAGTTTGATTTACTTTCCATTCTTTTTACAATTTCTCTATGGGGATTTTGTTTAGAAGCAACTTTTCTCTTGTCTATCCCAGTTATATTTCGTTTAACAATCAATTTATAAATGGTCCAAAATGCTATTGTAAAGAATAATATACAATGACTTTCACAATCTATTTTGAGTAGGTGTTGGATATTGAGCGTCAGTATCCTTACTTTGTATATATCTCTTAATATTTCTTTGATATGTTTAATGAAGGGCTCAATTAGTTTGCATTCTATAAATGCATGATTCATATCCTCTTTTATATTACATGTTGGGCATACATCGTCATTGGATATTCCCCATTTGAAAAGATTACTTCTTACTGGCAATAGGTAATACAGTAATTTCAAATTAAACTCTCGTAATTTGCTTTCTCTAATTTGAGCAAGATTACGCTTGAATACCTTAGACCAATCAATATCAACATTAAGTTTTTTTCCCAATAAAGGCAACATGTGTTAGTTAATACAGTTCTCGAAGGAATGAGTTTATAGAAACGATTGCTACTTGTATCAGTAACATGTTTTACCTTATTTGCCACCAACAGATATGGAACATTGTTTTCATTTTCTTGTCTAGTATAATCATGCATAAATTCTTCTTTTAAACTATTGACCCATACAGGAGGTATCGCTCGTTTAAGTCTTGCATAGTCAAACATTGCATTGCATTTTCGTTTGGAATGCACCTGCGATTTAATATATTCTGTTGACCGAAAGCCATCTCTCGTAAAAGGTCTCCTAAAAATACTAGATCACTGTCATACCAGCCTTTATAAAAGAGCGACTGATTATCATACACCACATGTTTGTTGTGCCAAATAATCTGATCTGAAACTTTAACTGGTTCATGTATAGATATACAAACATCTTTCACTGTAGTGCAGTATCTAATCATTTCCCATGCTTTTAAGATTTCTACGTAAAATGACGGATTTTTCTTTTGAACTAGAATATCATTAAGTGTGGTTATATTATAAGAGCAGTTCAGCAGTAGCTTGAGGCTTCCCAATAAGTTGAACCAGTAAGAAAAAAAATGTTTTCCACGCTCCATTACTCTCATTGAAAAATCTACCTAACCATTTCAGTCGGAAGCTGAACAATTGCCTTTGTATGTCAAGTATTTTTTATATCACCTTTACTGTAGTCTTCCATAAGAGAAACCCTTTTGATTTTTTCTGTTTTCCCACTCTAAATAAATTTGAATATAATGCCTTCTATCAACTTCAAAAAGTTTGGAGGGATGGAATCAACCATGATCAAGTGAGTAACTTGGCTAAGTGCTAGACTTTTCAGTACCGTGACTCTTCCAAAAATGGTTAAGCTTCTTTTTGTCCAGCTATCAAGAATTTTCCTCAATTTTATCAACGTCTGCTCCCAGTCCATCTTTAGAGCTTCAATATTATTAAAATATATGTAGTGACCTAAGTATCTTATAGGTTTGTGGGACCATTTCAGATCATGATTCTCTAAATTCCAACTTCTATCAGTGTCTCCTAGCCATATCATGGCTGTCTTTTCTTTATTTATTATTGGACCTGCTACTTCGCCAAACTGATTCAGTTCATGTAAAATTCCATTTAATGAAGTTTCATCCGGAACAAAAAATAATGTGTCGTCGGCATATTGCAACAACTTTAGTTTAAAGTCATACCCGACCATTTCTATTGGTTTAATAATATTTTTTTTTCTCACTTTGTTTGCCATGAGCTCGGCAGCTAAGATAAACAGCAGTGCTGACAATGGACATCCTTGTCGTATCCCTCTTTCAACGTCAAAACTTTTGGAAATCCAACCATTAACCAATACCGAACTTGAAATATTTTTATATAGGGCAGAGATCCATTTGCGAAATGACTCACCAAAGTTAAACTTTTCTAGACATGAGTTAAGAAATTGTATATCTAGGACATCGAATGCTTTAGAAAAATCTACTAGCATAATTGCTCCAGTTTGACCATTTTTAGTAAAATATTCAATGATGTCTTTTGTCAACCTTACATTACTGGCTGCCAGACGACCTTTTATATAACCTGTCTGATGTTCATGTACGATCTCCCCAATGACTTTCTGTACCCTTGCAGCTAAAACCGCTGCCATTATTTTATAGTCATAATTAAGCAAAGTGATTGGGATCCAGTTTTTTAAATCATGAGCATCACCTTTCTTGAATAACAATGTGATGAGCCCTTTCTTTTGTGTGTCTGACATAACTCCTGTTGAATAACACTCATTCAACGCTTCAACCACCAATGTTTTTACCTGTGGCCAAAACACCTGATAGAATTCAATAGAGATTCCGTCTGATCCCGGTGTCTTATTTTTCTGCATTGCAAATACTGCACGTTTACATTCCTCTTCGGTAATTAATCCATCACACAATTCTTTGTTTTCGTTAGATAATTGATTAATGTTTTGAAAACCAATATAATTGCTCATATTCTTGGTATCATGCTTTTCTTCTTTATACAAATTTGAATAGTACTTTACAACCTTTTCCATAATCTCTTCATTTTTGCTAACGATTCGACTATCATTTCCACGTTTTAATTGTAAAATTTCCTTTTTCTTTGCCTTACTCTTTTCTAAACCCCAAAAATACTTCGTACTTTTCTCTCCTTCTTCCATCCACCTAATACGAGCTCTGATTCCAGCTCCTCTCGATTCATGTCTATAAATCTTCTCTAACTTCTCCTTCGTGTCGGTGTACTCTTTTTCTATTTCTTTATCAGGTACACTGACATCAATTTGTTTTTCAAGTTCACACAATTTCTTGTCTAATGAAAATTTATTATTTTTCTATCGAGTGTTTTTGTTCTACAGAATTGTTGTGAAAATTCACGAATTCTAATCTTCAACATTTCCCACCTTTTTTGAGAGGAAGGGTATTCATCTTCACAAAAGGAATAGATAATTTTGGAAACTTTCATTTTGTAATTTACATCATCTAAGATATCGGTATTCATTTTCCAATTTCCTGGTCCTCTTTCATTTTGTTTGATACAAAATTTAAGTGTTATAGCATTGTGATCAGTTCTGATGGCAGGACGGATATCAGTACATACTGTTTTTACCTTCATTTGTTTAGATACAAGCCAAAAATCCAATCTCGAAGCCCTCTTGAGAGATATGTTTCTCCATGTGTATTGCTTGATATCTAAATGCATTAGTCTCCAGACATCGCATAGAGCATATCTTTTAACAAAATTTTTGAGGGTTACGGGTGTCTTGTAATATCTGTTTTCCGTTCCTCGTACATCCTTGTGCATGTCTAGCACACAATTCCAATCACCCCCTAGAATTCATTCACGGTCATGGTTATAATGTTTATTCATTTCAAAATTTAACTTTCGAAAGAAGCCTTCCCTCTAGTGCTTTTGGGTGGGCGCATACACATTTGTTAGCAATAAATCCATATCATGAACTTTGGCTTGTAGCATCAACAGTTGACCATTTAGCATACATTTTACTGCAATAGTTTGTACATTTAATTTATCATTGAAAAATATTGAGACTCCTCGTGAGTGATTGGTTCCATGAGCAAAAAAACATGGACCATGCGGCCATTCACTTCTTACAATTGTTTCAATATCTCTAGACCAGTAAGTTTCTTGAAGGAAGAGAATGTCTGATTTCTAATGTCTAAACCATCGAAATATCTGGTTTCTTTTATCCTTATTTCTCAAACCTCGTACATTTAAACTAATAACATGACAATTTACCATTATAGAAAATATAAACAAAATTACTACACACGATACTAATCGTAGATCTGCTCTATTTTTTCTTTGGCATTTTTTTCGATGTCTTTTGCTTTCGTTTGTTTTGTTTCACGTTCTTTCCTTTCAGGGGATGTTTCAATAGCTCTGGTGATTCGACTGATATTTCTGACATATCGTCCACTCCTTCTTCATCGCTCAATAATTGTGATTCCTCGCTTGACGTGTCATTGTGTGCGCGAGAATCGCTCAATGCCAGGCTATCAGCTGATTGATGAATGGTGTTGACGTGTGTCGGTGCTGGAGCCCGCCCCCCCCCCCCCCCCCCCCCCCCCCCCCCCCACTCCGAGAACGAACGGACCGCATGCGTGTTGCCAAAACGTCCTTTTCGTAACAAAAGAAAAAGGTCGACCCGTATTGACATTGACTTTACACACCGGACTTTTGCTGAAAAGGAGGGGGGGGGTCGGTTGGAACACGCATATGCGTACCCTAAATAACACTGAGTGGGGGGGGGGGGCGGGTGCTGGAGTCGGGGTGCTTTTTGAGGGTAGTTATTTGTTTTAATTTCCTTTCCTCTTAATGCGGTTGTATGTTTTTTAACAAACCAAACAAAAGTGTGCGAGAAAACGAAATATTTTGAAACCTTTATTAAAATTGATAAATCACCAAGGTTATTTATGACGTGCATAACAAACAATTCAATTGATTTTTTGCCATGCTTTTGAGGGGAGTTATTTGTTTTAATTTCCTTTCCTCTTAATGCGGTTGTATGGTTTTTTAACAAACCAAACAAAAGTGTGCGAGAAAACGAAATATTTTGAAACCTTGATTAAAATTGATAAATATATTTCATCACCAAGATTATTTATGACGTGCATAATAACAATTCAATCGATCTTTTGCCATGTTTTTGAGGGTAGTTATTTGTTTTAATTTCCTTTCCTCTTAATGCGGTTGTATGTTTTTTTAACAAACCAAACAAAAGTGGGCGAAAAAACGAAATCTTTTGAAACCTTAATTCAAATGATGGAGCGATTCGATAGCGACGCAACTCATGGTTAGATTTCACTAACCATGCTAACAGTTTATTTGTATTCCCAAAACGTCATGAATACAATATTGTTATGCTAACCTCGGCTATGACAATAAACCATATTATATTGATAGGTTTTCCCATATTTTGTTTCAATTTAATCCATCTAAACGGTTGCTATGAATGACTAAAAAGGGAATTTGACTTATAGTCAACCACACGATCGCTCACCTTATATAAGAGCTCAATTAAAGCTTCCAGTCACCATTCTGGATTTTGCGACAGGACACACCTATCAACAAAATGAAAGGAGGAATTGTTATTATATTGGCTTCCGTCTTGGCCCTTATAGGCCTAACTTTGCCAGAGGTATGTGTAAACATTTTTTTCTTCATTCTTGGTGTTTCGTAACAATTAAAATCAACAAAGGCGTCGGCCCTTGGTTTTTGCATACCCTGATCAACAAGATTTTCGGTACATGTTTTCACTGACCATGTATATCATTCCTCTGGCCAGCCCGCATTCAGTCTAAACATTGGTCTTTATACAAAGTTGAATGCCTAATATGTTTTGAGAATATTAACTTTCACTTAGTTAGTTAGTATTATTCTTTATATTGTATTCTTTAAATATATTTTTTCACTGAGAAGAGTTATGTTTACCGTTGATTTGCTCCTGATGAAGACGCATTTATCCTAAACTAAATTTGGTTTGGATAAAAAACAGATAAGAATCAGTGAAATTTGAAGGGGAAAAACAAGATAAAGAAGAAGACAGTTATTGATCATTAGGGTTTTGCAGTCAATTAAACGCACATCTGTAACGTTATGACCTATTTCCCATGCTTTTTGAGCCATCTTCTAATTTCTTCGAACTGGAACTTCAATAAATTTCCATTTTCATGGCACTACTGTCGCTGATGAATAAACAGACTTTTTCGTACGATGCGTGTGTAAAAACACATGTCCCATAATGACGTTCTTGCTAAAGTTGAGCTATTGGTTTATCGTTGACAAGTTTGGCAGACATGAGCGCTGTACAAGATCCCACTATTGTTATTATTTCAGGATATTTATGTATTTTCTTCCGAAAAGGGAAAAGGAATAAAAGGACAAGTTTCGAATTCAAAGTGCGCAACAAGCGGAAGTGGTGCTCAAAAGATACGTCACAAAGTTGCAAATTTGTTTTTGATCAGATGCAACTTTCTTATCTTTTATCTAACCCTTCCTAATTTCCTCACATATCTGGCACGATGTGTTTTGTGCTTACATTGTATGGAACGCCAATAAAAGTGAATTTTAAATTGTATTTACCTTTTGTGTTATAAGTTAACACATCATAACATTTAACTTACACATATCGGTCTAATTTTCAGGTGAACTCCCAGGAGACTGGTAAGTCATTTCTTCGTTTTGTTTATATTTCTTCCTTTCTGCTACATTGTTTTTCCAATGTTTTCTTCTGATTCCTCTTTCACACACATGTTTCAATACAGAATCTGTTTACCTTTTTCGCAAAGAGTGCCCTTTAATATTTGTTTTGTTTGATTGTTTTACCTGACTGCTACGAAACCAAGTGTATGCTTGTAAGTAATATCTGACAGGACTATGCCAGCTTTAAATTCAGTCAATAAGAGTTGCCAAAGTATTGGTTATTCTAGTGGGTCTTATAAATAAGTGGCAAGAAAGAGGCAGAGAGATATGTTTCTAAGATTCATGTGCAGGAATATTAGCATCACTCGTTAAAAGATTATAGTTGAAATCTCCCATAGTGATACACTTTTTGTTTTGAACGGAGTGATAGTGTAATGAATTATTCAAAGTGTCCAGAAAATCAGCATGATTGCTCCGAGGTGGCTTATAAACAACTCTCAAGATAGTTTTTCTTCTTTTTGCGATCATCAATTTCAATAAACAAAGTTTCTGCAATTTCATTCATCAATTTCATGTCTTTAATTGTAACATATT